TTCTACCGTAATTGGTTGTACAAAATAACCGGTATGTGGCGCCAGGTAGGTAGTGGGCGACAGCTTTCGGCTATATACCTGTATCTCTACTTCCTTGCCATATTCTTTCGTGCCGCTATTTTTAATAACAGTAGAATCTGTCTTGGTACCAAAAAGCGGTAGGGACGAAGGATCTGGTTCAAACAGATCACTAAGCGGAAGATTAGATTCCCGTTCAAAGGTTTCCGTCAGGGTGTCAAACTTGGTATAATAAAATGCAGTGAGATAAAGCGGGTTCGGAATATCGGTTCCTTCAAAGTAATTGTCGATATGGGCACAGAAGAGCAGTTCATTGTTGCGGCCCAGCTGGCTTCTTAACTTGGCATAATCTTCCAGGTCGAAGGTGCCGTCTTTGTTCTGCTTCAGCATGCTGTTCTTGCCTGCTTTGCCACCGCCGCCATAATTGTCTACGGTTTCACTGATCTCCTTACGCATCAGGTAAGTGATGCCGGTAAGCAGCAGGGCTGCCAATGCGGAGAAGGCTATAATGCGCCGGGTGAGGAACCACCAGAATTGCTGCGATTTATCTTTATAGCTGTAGATCTGCTCTGCTGTAAAAATGATATAAATGGCATACAATACAACCGGCGAAAAAGACCAGAGTAGTTTTTCAACCGTATCAGAATTGTTTTTAGCGACTACATAAATACAACAGCCCAGCAACAGGGTTGCCACCACTACTGACCAGTACCGGAGCCGTAAAAAGCCCCAGCCAAATATCCAGCCCGTTGTAAATAAAATAGCAAAAGCAGAAAACTGGTAATAAATAACAAGGCTGTCGAACTCACCGAATGACAACCGGTCCACTCCTTTTGAAAGTGCGTAAAGGCCAATGATCAGCGCAATGACTGTGGGCAAAAAGCGAAACCTGAATGCATAAAACAGGGCGCTGAGTCCCATGCCCGCTGCAAAGTAAATGGTCAGTTGTAAGACATCGGTTTCAATCTGCGTAATAAAATGGCTGCCATGCCAGATCAGAAAATAACCGACCACGGCAGTA